TGCCAAATATAATATGAAAGCTAAGGACCATTTTCAGGAGCTTGGACAAGTTGGAAACCTCCGGACATGTAAAGTACAAGGTTGTTATGATCTAATTCTTTATATACTGACAGGTGCAGATGAAACTGAACTGGCTCTGGACTCTCGTGTTTTCCGTGTCGGTATGGTGACGACACAGCATGAAATTCCGACTGTGGCTTCTGGCAGCTCATCATCCTCAGTCCATTCATTGAGGTCAGGGTTGTAAACCTGAATGCATTTCTTGTACTTCTTCTCGCCCTCGTTCCAGCCACCGAGGAGATAGATCTTGCTATTCAAAATGGAAATCCCTGCTGTGCTCACCCCCGTGTGAAGAGGTGCGCAGTAGCTCCACTGCCCACTATGAGGGTTGTAAGATTCGACAGCAAGGACGTCCACCCTCTCCCCGCGCCCTCCTAGCTGGCTTCCGCCGATCACATAGCCGCGGTCTCCCACAGTGGCGGCACAGTGCCAGCCTCGAGGCGTGCTCAGACTGCTCTTATCCTGCCAGGTGTCAGTGGAAGGGTCGTAAGAGCACACAGACCTGGAGTAGGCGTTATTAATGTAACCTCCAGATACGAGTATTTTTCCGTCGATCACGGAGCTGCCGTGGCAGCAGCGGGGGACCTCCATGGGTGCTTTCATCTGCCACTGGTTGGAGGAAGGCACGTAGCACTCCACGGAGGCCTGCACACCATCAGCATTTCGCCCTCCGATGGCAAACAAGAGGCCATTGAATGTGTTGAGGCTGAAGTGGGTGCGCCTCTGGATCATGTTGCTCAAGTGAATCCAAGCATTGAACCGGGAGTCATACCTAAGGAATGCAAAAGGGATTATTTTATGCTACACATACACTAACTAAAATGACAGACAGGCTTACCCATCTTAGTTCTTACCTGCAGAAGTTGCTCACAGCATGTTTTGCCTGGTTTCTTGCATCATTCTGGTCCTCACCCCCCGCAACATACAGGAATCCGTCCAGGACTGCAACACACTGATTGAAGCTCTTTGCTGGCATCTCCGTCAGCTTATTCCACACATTATCTGAATCTCTGTAGAGAACGTCTTTGCTGAGAGATTTCTCTGTCAAGGCAGGGCGTCCGCCAACTGTGAGAATCACTTTGAGACCACCACGTACTTTTGTTCTGCGTGACTGGAGGATGTTCTGTTGGTACGGAAGCAGATGGTAATTCATAGCATCGACGAGGAGGCGGTGGCACTCGGGGTCCTGCATCATTCTTGGCACACCTTGGACATGATTCACCAGGTCTTGGGGAGTGATAGTGCCAAACCTGATGAGAGTTAGCAGATCTGCCGCATACTTTAACCTCTTCTCATCAAAGTCCAGCCATTTCATGGCAATCTGGAAGGCTGTAACTTCAGAAGGTAGCTGCAGGGAATCATCTGACAGAAATTCGCTGATCTGCTCATAGGTTAGCTTCAGGAACTGCTCCATCTCAGAAAACTCAATGAAGTTCTCTCTCATGAACTTCTGAGTCGCTTCCTTGGTTTCTTTGAGGTCATAGGCATCAGCGATATTGGCTACGTACATGCAATTCTCCACACTGAGCTCCTGCATGAGGAAGTCACTGCACATCTTCACTAAGGTGCCAATCTGCAGCAGCATGGCTGCAGCAATAGTGCTGCCAATGCTGTAGAGCGACAGAGTGAGCTTTCCCGAGTATGCGTATGTAATTGCAGTAGCGAGGCCAACCGGTGAGAGGTCGTTCAGGTCTATCTTCTGGAGGGTCGAGTCCTTCTTCAAGATGTTTCTAATGTACTCACTGCAAGAGGCCATGACAACCTTGTGCACATCAAATGACTTTGATTTGGTGGCGACTGTTAGATCACAGAGGAAGCTTTCGTTTCTCATGGTGCTCAGACCTTCAAGGAGGTTCGGGGCATACACAGAATCAGTAACTTCAGTCGAAATGCAGCTAAAGCCATTTCCGCCTTCAAGCAGAGTGTTCAGCCCGTTAATCTTGTTGATGGGGCTGTTCTCAACCATCAGGGCCATATCATTTATGTCTCCCTTGCTTTTTTTGGTTGCCTTGTTCTTTTTGGGTGCCATGGTTTTAGCAGCAGAACACAGCCCGGACCTTCTGAAAAATGAGCACATAAATGTTAGCTTTTTTAGTCTATTTCAATTTGAATGGATAAAAAAGTGTTTTATGAGCGAACTAGATAAAACCAGCTGCAGATAAAGTGCGACAAATGCAACTTGTGACAGAAATTAATTTTTCTGGGTTATCTTATTGATGAAAGCAACTCATTTTAAGCAGTGGGGACAGGGGCAGCAAAAGACACAGCTACCCAAGCTAATAGGTAAAATAACTGGGTAAAAAAGAGCACCTGAGAAAGCAACTGAAGAAAGTGTTCAGCTCTTTGTGAAAGACCATAAGGACAAATAGTTATAGACATTCAAAGACTTTAAGGAAGATTCAGATAACCCTCAGAGAAATTCCTGCACAAAAGGGACAGGGCGGAGGCTAAAATGAACTGAGGCAAAGCAGAAAAACTGATTGTTAAAGATTTGAAATTCTGTTTGGAACTCATTGGTGCCCCGTCCCCAGGGCTAAAGAAGAAAAGGGAAAATCTAGCTTAGTGTCATAGTGTGGGGTATGAGAGCCAGCATGTGTGAGGACATGAGGGTTCAGGAGGTGCACATGGCACCCTTTATTCTGAAAATCACATAGTCAGGCTTTTAGGGCAACATATATTGCCATCCAGCCAACTTGTCTTTTGGTAAGAACCTTGCTTATTTTAACAAGACCATAATGAACTGCACTGAGCTCACCATACACTGTGTGAACACTGAAAATGAGCTTATATTTTTCAATGAACAATAAAGTTTTTACAGTTTTAAAATGTGATGTGTTGTCCTCATAGTATCATCAATGAGCAAATAATTGCTATCTGTTTTGTATTTATATTTTATATTATCTTATTATATTTCTAATTTATATTAATCATTTTCTTGTCAAATATGTAAGATGTCTCCACCTTCAATGTTGGTTTTGTTTTGGAACTGTTCAGATTTCTTTTGGCAGATTTGAAAACGTGTGCTACCAGGTGAGCCAGGAGTGTTTAAGTGCATCAGCATGCTCCCTCTTTGCATCTGTCACAATTTATCAGCAGCATGTCCAGGAATAGCAACACTGGCCGGCTCACCCATGACGTTCCTTTTATAGACTTTGAGACATGAACAGCAGGCCTAATGTCCTCTGACTGTTTGCTTGTTCTTTTCTTTTTTGACTCTTTTCTTTCATAAATTGTTTCAAGTTTGTCTTAGAGTCTACAATGACGACCGTATACAAGACAAAACACTATCAGAAACGTCATTGCTGGCATTATTTACCACAGGCCTAGCAGACACAGATAGTTCTTTTTCCCATGCCTATGTTTGAAAAATGAAATTACAAGTTCTACTCATCAGACATTTTTGATATTTTGAAGCACAATATTTGGAGCGAGAAAGCAGATTTTCTGTTCTGTAAAAGCTTACAAATGCTGATGTACGAGCTTCCTCTGACTTCCTCCTGCTTTGTTATAATGCCAAACAATCAAACTTTAGAAACTTACCTAAAAAATGAAGTTGAGGCCGGTGAAGAGGGAGCTTGCACCTCCAGTTACTGGAGCAGGAGAGAGACCAGCCGTCACCCCCGTGGAAAGGGATATGCAGTAAACTCCTCCTCCAGGGGAGTGGGTTCCAATCAAGTATTGTGCAATACCAGTGGCAGAAGACCCTCAACGTGAAAGTGTCCCACAATAGCCTGTAATCATCTGATAACAACATACTGCCGGGTGGCTGTGTATCCTCAGTGGGATGCCATGTGTCACGTGATTAGTGCAAACAACTTTGTACACTTTTACAATAAAACTATTAAAAGTAAATATTCATTTGCAGACACGATGTCGCTGCCAAATAAAGGTTTAATTATAGAGAGGCACGTGCAACATTTAAGCAACATTAAAAATGTAATTGCAAAATTCACAGTGACCATACTGTCATTTGTTTTACAGCTTTTTTTATTGTAATTTTTTTTTGTTTTACAGAACATTCATGTATTCCTAAAATACAGCCAGCTTACATTAAAATGATGTTGTAATATTTACAGCAATTAGTGTCCCAGTACAGCACATTTAATGATCTGCATGCTAAAAGGCTACAGCAAAAGACAGAGACAGCAGAAGTCTGAGGAGATGTTGAATAAAGGTGAATTCTGCAGCTTGAGAAAGCATAAAGATGAAATATTTTATGATAATAATAACAACAACAACAACAACAACAACAACAATAATAATAATAATAATAATTATTATTATTAAATACTCATTAAAACATCAGCATGTAATTGTGGGGACTTTCTCTTGTCAGGTCTTAACTTTACAGTATAAAGTGACTTGAGGGGATTGTTGTGATTTGGCATTATATGAATAAAACTGACTTGAATTGAATTGTTCTGAATCAAATAAATTATTTTTTCAAAACTAACCTGTTTATAGGTACAAAACCTTCACTTTTTTAAATCACACCAGCATGGATTATTGCTGTTTGCTGATTTGAAGGGTGCTATATCCATTTTATTGGCCTTACACGTGTGTTCAAAAGGCCAACAGCTTCCAGATAGGCGCCTGCAAATGACCAAAATTGAGTTAAGTCAATTTTAATTTAATTCAGTCAGTACCAAATCTCCACGACAGCCCGTGGGCACCTCTGATTGTAAGACCCACACAGTAAAAGGTCCCATAGCAATAATATTCTCAAGAAGCACTATATGTTACCGGTTCATATACACGTATTTATTATAAGTTGTTGTAATTATAGGACCCCCCTCCCAGTAAATGCTTTAAGAAGCAGCTCTTTAAACAATAGGCTTAAGATGATCCAGCATTAGTGGCATCATTTTAAAAGCCACACCTCACATACCATTATATCATTTGTCACTAGTTCCGCCCATTACTATAATAGTGTCATCAACGAGCGCGCGCTGCCCGCTGTGTGTAGACGGCTTCACGTGAGTCACCGTGATGGCCAGCAGCTCTGACGTGGTGAAGAAAATCATGAGGCTCAAACGTCAGCTCTCAGACAAAGCAGATCCTGCTACGGTAGTTATCGTTTGATTTAAACGGCTTAAAACGTTTTTATAATCCCAAAAACCCGGAAAGTTTTGAAGAATTATTTCACCGCTGTTTTATTACCGGCTGAACAAATCCCACCTGCTTTAGTCATGGCTTTGTCTAATCATTGGCTCACAACACCTGCTGCCACATCGGGCGTTATTTAAAAAATGACTTTGTTCCCTTAATGAAAATTATGAAGCTCAATTAGATTTTTGTTTTTGTATATATTTTGTATTAGTATATGTGTGAACAGAAGCTGAGCTGGCAGTGTTTCCCTGCCGCTTTCACACAGCACTGAAAATCCTTTGATTTGGAGTGTGTGTGTGTGTGTGTGTGTGTGGGGTGGAGGGTCAGGCTGTTTAAACTGGAGGCGCTTGGCTGCTGCTAAAAATGGCAGCTCCTGCAGTTGTTCAGCTTATGGCTGCTGTCCATCATCAGTGCACTGCAGGCAACTTTAACCACCTATGCCTGTGCCGTATAAGCCTTCTCATATCGTCTTTGTATCCCGTGGATCAATTTTCAGTTGAGGAATTTACACGCAAAATCTGTAAATGACCAATTTAGCTTTAAAGACATAAGCTGGTGCTACTACTACTACCACCTCCCATCAGCCAGCCACGGCTATATCCATTTATAGTTCAGGGTAAAAGGAGCAGTCTAAGTGGGTGTGTAAGGTCCCCATACATAGGTTCTGCTCTAAAATGCACAGTCAGCTACTGTGGCAATCCAAAACCAGGACTGCCATATTTGGCAAGTCAGTTTATCTTCGACAGAGGTCCCATTCTAGGTACTTTTTAACCAAAAACAATCAATCGAATCACCTTTATGTTGACAAAAATGCTTAAACATTATGAAATGCACCACAGCATGGCTGCAGGCAGTGGGGATAATATGCTTGTCACTCTTTCCAGGTTCTAAAAATCTTGCAGAAACTCAAGGATCTGGATATCACTTTAGATGTTCTTGCCGTGAGTCTCTTATTCACAGACTGTTTTTTTTGTTGATGTACATTGTGGTTGATTTTCATTTTTATTCCCCTGATAATGGTCTGATCATCAATTAGGAGACTGGAATTGGCAAAACTGTTAACTCCTTACGCAGACATGAACAGGCTGGAGAATTAGCAAAGTCTCTAGTAAAAGGTTGGAAAAAGCTGCTCTCCAAAGAATCCACAAGGTAAAGTGCATTTAACAATAAAATATTGCTTCTTAATTTTATGTGTTTAGCGGCTTAATCTTGAATTTTCATTCTCCGCAGCCGTGGAGAAGATGGGACTTTCTCTGAGAGCCTTTCTGTGAAAGACAAACTAGATGATCAAAGCAGTCCAAATAATGGAAATTTGGAAATGGAAGATGTGAACAATAATCTTCTAACATCTCATCACAGTAAGAATAGTGATTCTTCAGATGACGGCAACTTTAAAACGGGGAAAAGGAAAATGGATTCGCAGAAAGGACAATGTGAGGGACGGAAAAGAAAAACAGACTGTGAGAAAAGTCCAGAAAACCAGTACGTCTCCCGGCACGACGTGTTAACACAGAAGGACAAAATGGACAAGAAGAAGAAAAAGGATCGGAGCGACCGAAAACCTGGAGACTGCGATCGTCTGCTCGGAAACAAAAACTTGAAGGAAAGCCAACAAAAATCCAGATCTGATTCCAGAGAGAAATGTAAAAGTGCCTCTGAGAGTGGGCGGTTCGGGTCAGACAGGGAGAAGAACACAAAATCAAAGCTTTCGAAAGAGTCGAGGGGAGGCAAGGAGGATGACAGAATGTCAGGAATGTTGAGAAGCTCCGACGCCCAAAAGAGAAAAACAAAGCATACAACTTCGCTGGAGTCTGAAAGGGAACATTCAAAACACAAGAAGGCGAAAACGAATGAGACTAAAAGTGATCCAGAGGAGCCCTCTATGTCTTTTGAGTCCTACTTGAACTATGATGTGACTGTTTACAAGAGAAAGGAGCGCTCTGGAATGAGAAAGCCGCCCAAAAAACCCAAGATGATTCCCAGTGAGCAACAAATAAAAGATCCTGTAATTAAAAATCTGGAGTTGGCCCCAAAACAGGTATATTTGTCAAGAATCTTTGCTTACAGAGAAAAGACCAACTTGCTGATGCTGATTAACAATGCCTCATTATTTATAGAAGTTTCTGGAGCCTGTAATGCACCTGATGAACATTCCTTTGCCTGCTGCTTTACCTGAATGTGACAAGCCCTCCAGCTTTGACTACTATGAAAGGAAAGGTACACGTTCAGTAAATGCAGGTGTATTTTCAGCTTTATCATTTGGCTCTTGACACCTCTGCTTTCGTTTTAAAGTGGAGAAGGAGCCTGTGGAGCCTGATGTCTGTGACGTCTCTGAGGAGTCTGCAGTCTTCACCGGCCAGCGTCTCAACAGGAAGATGCAGGTGTACTCTGGTGCCAAGACCGTTTTTCTCCCAGCCATGCTGAGCTTGTACCAGCAGTGTATCCGCACCCTCCAGAACAACATTAACTGTGAGTGAAGCCCAGGAAGACATTTTTTCCTAGGCTCTGTTGGTTTATGTCTGATTTAATAATTAGGTGCAGGCATCTCTTCTTAGTGCTTTATGAAACTGGCGGGGTCCCGTTTGAAATCCTCGAGCCTGTGTTGGAGAAGTGTACCCCAGAGCAGCTGCTACGCATCGAAGAATGTAACCCAGTAAGAAAGTGACACGCCAACATGTTTAGTGCAGAACAAAACCTTGTGGCCACTTCAGTAGGTCTACCTGACCAGCAGTGGGTTTACTCCTCCCAGTTTGTACCTGTAAATCTGGGTTGAAAGCCTTGTTTATCTGCTTTTCCTTAACCACCTAATCATTACTGTTTGTGATATGGATTAAGAAATCAGTTTTAAGAGCTTCATGCCCCTTTCCCAAAAAAAGCAAATATTTACCCAATAGGAGTCAGGTGATCTACCACATAACCTGAATATTTGTGGATATAATTTTTATGATAATGATCTAATGATAAGTACACAAATATAAATCTGGATTTAAAAGGTTAGCATTTTTAACTGCACTACTTGAGGCAGGGCTGTGAGGAACTTTGATTTTCATTATACTTCCTGGTTGGTTATTAATTTATTAAATACTTTTCAGTCTATCTGGTATCAAAAGGTGAGAAGTGCACAATTAAAGTTCCCATTTTTACATCTTATGTTTGTTTAGAGAAATGGACCCTACAATAATGTGAAATTGGAGAAAAGCAGAATACCCATGAGCTGGGATTGTGAAATTGGGCAATCGGTTTATATTTTATATGAAAGGACAGTTACACAAATTCTTCCAAATTAGTTTTTTGATCCTCTAGTCAAAGTTTTTTTCAGTCGTCCTCCTTGGCTGTCAGTACAACAGATGATCTTTTTCATATAAGCAAGATTCAACATGTTTTTGATACTGCCTATGTGTCTTCTCTGGGCTTTGGCTAATAAGGTGTACACCTTCAGTCAACAGAGAAGTCTAAACTTGCGTGCCAATGGAAAGTGCATCTTTGTGAGAGGGCTCCCACACTTGGCATCGATGATCGAGCCACATTCAAACTTTTAGACTGCGCACGTCATGCAGAACAATGTTTATTTGAATAACCTAACCTTCTGACCTCATTATGCTTTATTTATTTTGTTTTGTTTGGTTACAAAGTATGTAGAGGATGTTGTCTCCTCCAAGGAGGTTATATTTTTCATAGCGTGTTTGTGTAATACTGTAAACACAATAGCTTGAAATATTCTAAGTGATTTCTAATAAAACTTTGTAGGGGTGTAGATTTGGGGTCATGTTAACAATTCATTAAAATTTGGTTTGGCCACAAGGTCTTCAAGGCCTGGACAAAAAAAGGACTTGGAGACGGTGATTGTGACAAATGTTGTTTTGTCAATTTCACATCTGCCGTTCTTTCAAATTGACCCCAAAATGCTTCTTATCTTTAAAGTATTGTTGAGAGAGAATGAGCTGCCTAATTAGAAATACACTGAAATATACTGTGTATACTGTGGTATATTATAGTTTAATAAGGTCAAGGTATTTATGTGAAGTTATTTACAAAATTAATGCCCATCATCTATTAATTATTCCAATGTAATTGAGTAAACATCTGTCGTGGTACTCGTACTGTACTACAAATATCATAATTTTTTTCCCCCCCCATTCATTAATTTTGCAGATCTATGTCGGCGTGACAGACCATTTATGGGGCAAACATTGTCAGAGAGACTTCAAAGACTCCAAACTTCAAGAGTATGAATCATGGAAAGAGATGTACATCAGGCTATCTGAAGAGAGAGAAAGGAAACTGAAAAGACTGACAAAAACTATTGTCTCAGCACAATCTCAGAAACCCAAAGGTGACTGCTCTACACTGAATGCAACTCGGGTCATTTCTACTGGTGATAATTCAGAAATAAAACAGCCATATGGTCGATGTAAGACATTTTATTGATTGATATTCATCCAGAAGTTCTGTATGAATTAAAACTCTGAAATTTGTAAAAAGTAGAAGAAAAGTAGTCTCTAGTGAGGTTTGGTTTGTATACTGGCTTTCATTAGACCTTTTTTTTTCTTTTTCTTTTTTTTTGGCATCTCTTAGGTCGGCAGGTGAAGATGGCATTTATTCACACGGTTGCCAAGCCACCGAGAGATGTGCGAATTCAGCAGGAAATTCATGGAACTGCTGTTCAGCAGCCTCATCAGCCCAGGAGCAGGTGGGTTTCAGCCTCCTACATACAGATGATACATCTTCTGACCAGGTTTTCTTAAAATCACATTAGAGCATATTTTTCTAATGTTTATATATTCATGACATTTATATTATTGGTCTCAATATTAAGTACACGAACAAAAAGCCCATAAAAGAGCTTTTCTGGGGGATTTATATGCATCTGTTTATCTTTGGCAAAGTGTGGACACCTGGCTCGCTCTGCTCCTTTTCCACATAATAGCCCTTAACCACAACGTGATCACTAAACAAGAGCAGCTTAGCGGGGTCATAACCCATCAGAGATTCATGTGATAACGGTGGGCGAAATGCTTTTTGGGTGAGCTTGGCTAAACACAGGAATTAGAGCAATGTGCTGGATAAACTGGTTTTATTCTAGTTGTAGAGAGCCTTGGGTGCTTTTGTTGTGAGTTGTTGCAACATGGGATGTGCTCACCAGCAGTGTGTAACACCGATCTTTGGAGGTAGATGGACACTAATTTTGTAGTTTCATCTGCATTGTTTTTTTTTTTAACTCTTTTAAATAGTTCAGTTTATTTCCTCTGTTCAGTGTCAAGATTCAGGACAATCGATCGAAGCAGAGTTATGAGCCCAGCAGGCCCAGCAGCACCAGTTCAGGGGGAAGCGGAACACAGGACGCGCGCAAAAAAACAAGTGAGCTGGTAGTTTATGGCTTTCCAAGCCTCCCAGATTGATTGCTTCAGTTGTTTCTTTTATGCATATTTTTCACTGATCATCAGGCTGGAGGTTAAATGAATACATGTGCCATGTGCATAGTAATCCCGACATCATTTTACCTGATGATTTATACTTTTCTTTGTTCTCACAGGAGTGGCTCCAATGATGGCGAAGTCCTTGAAGGCATTTAAGAAACAGCTCGGACGTAGATAAGTGTTTATACAATGCTACGGTGTGGATGTGCACAACATGAACTCGATCAATGATTAACTCTGGGCAGTAATAAGCCTGTGTTCACTTTAGATTATTCTGTGTTGCTTGTCTATATGTACTGTGATCAGGCAGTGCCATGTTTCTTTTCTGCAAGTTGTCTTCACTATTAAATGGGCCATGAAGTCAGCAAATTTACTTGGCTTTGATTTTGTCTCTGTTCTTTAAGGGGAACAAGGTCATCCATTTAATGGCATTTGGTGCCCTCTAGAGGATATTTTGTTAAATATTTTTCTCTTTTGAAATTGGAGAGTTCATAGTCATATTATATGGGCATTTTGACATTACTGATATCATATCTCTCAGCTCTTGCAGGACTATAAATTCAAAACTGAATCCAAATGTAGCAAACGTGTCAACTTTATGTGCGGTACTGTGCAAAGTCTTGAGATATCCCTGATTTATTAATATTTTGCTCCAAAGAGCTAAAGCTGGACTCTGTTCTAGTTTTTTTTTTTTTTTTTTAAAGTGGTCTTGAGCAATAGTTGACAGAAGCCATTTCAACAGACAAAAATAATGGCTGCTTTCTTTGCTCATTTTGAATCCAGTAACCACTTTCAGAGGAATGTTTTGTCTAAATCACTTAACGCTGACCTGTGACTCATCCTGTTACAAAAAAGGCAGAAAACTCATGGGATGAACCAATGTTGTGCCTGCACATAACAGTTTTAATTTGGGTCTTTAGGCACTTTTCTTTGGTCAAATCTGCAAAAAATCCAAAGATGAGTGTGATGGGGAAAATGGTATTTATGCACAAGCAAAGGTTTCCAAAATGTTCTTTGCTGAAAATGTGGTATATCACTGCATGGCGTTCTTATAAAACACACAGGATACTGGACAGATGGAAGATGGCCCTTCAGTTTGATTCATCTGTTTACTGAAGCCTCACTAGGCATGTCTGTGCAAAGGGTGTCTGTCAAGAAGTCATTAAGAAAGGGAGATGGGGAGAAAAGTCAAGAATTGGACTGCAACAGGTCTTATGGTGAGTGCAAATGTGAAACCTTTGGATTAAATGGTCAGTATATACGGAGGTCAAAGAGGTACGACAGTTACTACAGTCCTCTGTAAAACAAGGTGGAGGATCTATCTTGGTTCAGGGTTGCATTTCAGCCAGTGGTGTTGGGGATCTTGTCAAGGATGAAATTTTCATCACAGCAAAGTGCAGATTGTGATCCACCATGACCAATGATCCCAAACATACTGCCAATACGGTGAAAGCATACCTGGATACAAAAACACACAATGGAGCACTGAGTCAGGAATTTACGTCCCCAGAACCTGGACTTTATAGAAGCAGTGTGGGATCATCTTGGCAGAGAACGGAACAAACGGAAACTCTGAGGGTTAATGAAGCAGTCCTTCCACAAGAGGACCAGATAAATAAGACAAATGGAGCTGATGCTGACCCATAGAAGGATATCATCAAGGGATTATTTGTCGTACTCCGCACATTCCTCAAGTCTGACCTCGGCGAAGTAGCAGAGGGCAAAAGATGGCTGCAGCACAATGATTCACACTTGTGCAAACAAACTGTTAATGTTTCTGCATCTTCATCAAAGTCAAAGTGCACAAAGCCATTGTAGTTGACCTAAACCAGGTATATAGCTGTCAGTGGGTAATTGTTGAACAGGGTTTATATCCTATTGGGTAATACATTTAAGAGTGGGAGTTGCCAAAGTCAGTGCATTAAGTGTCACACCTCCAAAAGTACAAAATGACAAAACACAGCAAGTACAACCACAATTCCAAAAGTTTGTATACTGTGTGAAATATGGGGGGGAAAAAAAAACCTGGAATGCGATGATTTGCAGATCTCACAAAACCACATTTTATTCTCAACAGAACACAGAAGATATAAAACGAGAATATTGTTTTATTTCTAAGAAATTAACTTTTTGCTTTTTTTTGCTGTCAACAATTTCAAAATAAGCTACCATTTTTTTTTTTTTTTTTTACAAAATAGTATAAAAATGTCTCAGTGTAAAGATTTTTCTATGCCCTATTGTGAATACAACAATCAGTTGCCCTCCATTTTTATTTACATTTTACATAGTATCCCAGCACTTTTGGAATTGGGGTTGTATAAACATCTGCCCAGTGTGACAAATTTAGATCCTTGTTTTAAGGCTGCAAAGTGTTTAGAGTATAAATCCCAGATGTCTCTTTATGGAGCAGTGACTTGCGGTGACATGAAGAAGGTAACTGCTTTTTAATAATACAGTCTGTGAATAATGCTATCCAATATTATGATCTATGTTTTTTATACATTTTTCAGTCTGCATGTCTTAAAAGTTGCACAGGGGCATCTCAAAGTAGATGTTGTGCAGCTGCAGTTGATAAAGATGTAATGGAGGACTTTCCCAGTATGTGGTTGCATAAGTACCTGGTATTTGACAATTAGAACACTGTGCACAGTGGCCATGGCAAAACAAACAACCATGCAGACTGGTTAGACAGCCATGTGAAGGTATTTCTGCATACAGCGGAAAATGCTGAAAAACTCAGTTACTTTTGGTGCTCTCGGGTGGCGCTTCATTAATAACAGAAGTGAAATTTTCTGCATGAGCTCAGCAACACTTTTGAAAACCACTGTCAGAAAACACAGTTTGTCTCTGAAACCATAAAATCAAGTTAAAACTTGGAGATTCTGAGAAAAACAGAATTACAAGTAAAGTTTTGTTTGTTTTTGTTTTGCTCTTCGCTTTCCTTCTTGCCACTCTGCCCCTGGCATTGTTACACTATAAATGTAACAAATCTAAAAAGAAAAAGAAATCGGCTAACAATAGGAGTCAGGAGGAGACCAGGATTTTTCTTGCTAAAGGTGCCACAGTTTAGTTAAAAAAAACACAACAGAAAAAAAAATGCTGTAACATTTTCTGGGTACAAGCTCATGTAAGATGGACTGAGGCAAAGTGGAAATCTCTTGTGGTTTCTGATGAATCTATATTTAAGGAAAATTTTTGGAAATTATAGATGATGGTCTCCGGGCTAAAGATAAAAGGGACCATCTGACTTTTTACCAGGGCGAGTTTTAAAAGCAAGCCTCTGTAATGTTGTGGGAGAGTGCATGTGGGAGAGTGCATGTGGCACAGACAGATACATAAATGTCCGATTAAACAATGACGTTTTATATATCTGTAATAAAAGAGTCCAGGGGAAACTGGTCTTCCAGACCTGGCAACTAAACGTTTAGTGCTTTATGAAGAGCAGGAGATGCAGCATAGTGTTAAATTCCCCCCATCCTAGCCATTTTTAGGTGTGTTGCTTGCATCAAATTCAAAATGATTAGGTACTAAAAAAAGAAAAGAAAGAGAATGTCTCAGTTTTGATGTCAGTGTCAACTTTAATCTTACAGGAGATTTTGAATGATTGATTGTCAGACTGTTTTATTTCAAACATGTACAGTTATCTGAAATAGCAACAAAATACATTGTAAATAAAATAAAATAAAATTGCCACAAATATCAATACACAACACAATGTACATGTTTAAAAAGGAGTACGATGATCCGAATCTTTTAAATCTATTTCATTAGATATGAACTCAACACAGGATAAAAAAAAAACAAAGGCAAAAATAATAATAGGATTTATTATTAGTTATATAATATTTATATTAGTTATTGTGTGTAGGCTTGTAAGAATAAAACTGTTTTAAGCTCGCTTTTGAATTTAGCTGTAACTGACCTCAGGTCAGCTGGCAGCTTGTTGTGAAGAACAGGATCAAAGTAAGAAAGTCAAGACACTTAGATTTAATTCAAGGAAGGAGTTAAAAGATCTGCCCCTGATGACCTGAGAGGTCTGACTGGGTAAAGATACCGAGATGCACTGGGACTTTATCAACTATAATAAAAGGATTTTAAAGGTAAGTCTGTATTAAACTGGGAGCCAGTGAAGTGGCTTTGTCAGTTTTAAGACATTGTATTTGTACCATTTTAAATGAGATCTAAACATTGAATATATTATGTGAAATTCATTGCTTTCTGTTTTTATATTGAGTTCACACAGTATTTCCACGCTTTTTTTGTTGAATGAAATTGAATGAAATAAAATAAAATAAACAAAGCAGGTTAAAATAGTACAGGATAAAACACTGCAACCCTTTAAACCTGAACCATGGACTAATTACCAGAAAATTATATTTTTTTAAACTAAAAGTACTTATTGAACCCAATGGCATTTAAAAAAAAGGAAATTAAATCACAATTTGCATATATGAGTAGTACAGGTCTCAAAAACTCATGTATCAAGTGTGAGTACCTTGCAAGTGAGTAACAAGTTAAAGTTGTAGACATAATACAGGTTTGAACTCGGATAATTCACATACTTGAGGTCCGGGGTTTACACTGTGGGTGCCCTTCCCCCGCCCCGGGCCGCTGCCAGTCATCTGTGCCCTATCATGGCGGCCCCGTGCGGGACGGGATCCAGAGGAGGGACCGGAGGGAGGAGCAGCCTGGAATGATGACGTAGGATTGGAATGAGGGAGTGAATTTTCCGGGTCAGAAACAGGACGGGAGAGGAAATTAACTCCAGGACGAGACGAAAAAAAAAAGAAAAAAACCACACGAGAATGCCGCCCTCCTTTACACTGAGATGTAGCCCGTGTGTTTAACGCTTAAGAGGGGGCTTTAAAAAAGGCGGACGTTGGACGAGGAACCGAGTGGAGAGAAAAAACAGGTGTCTGCAAACTAAAAAGTGAACCTACGACGGGGACTGGAGCACCCATGTTACTCGCGACCTGCGGAACGTTAGCTCGGTAACGTTACAGCGGCTGACTTACAGCGGGAGTTTCGGTGTTTACTTGCCTGCGAGTTTCGCCTCGCTTGTGTTTGTCGGTGGCTGTCCCGCCATAGCAATCTGTTGCATCTTCCACCATCTCCTCCTCCCCGCTGCTTCTTTTATCGCACGGGTACGAGATTTATTTCCACCTTCCCCGTGATGTTTAACTGTATACCCCTGTGGCGGTGCAACCGTCATGTCGAGACGATCGATAAACGCCACTGCTCCCTGCTCTATGTGCCCGATGAGATTTTTCGCTACGGACGGAGTTTGGAGGAGCTGTTGCTGGATGCCAACCAACTCCGAGACTTGCCCAAGGTAAGGAGAAAGCAGCTTCCGCTCGTTTAAATTAAATGGCAGGTAACTGAGCTGATCT